CTGCATGTCCCAACCAGACTGTCTGTCTGTGTCTGCATGTAAAAGTGAGGGAGGGAAGGAAGGAACTACAAGAGAGTCGGAGATGACGCAGCACACACGCAGTTCCCCAGCCCAGTGATGCTTGCATTGACCAGATGTTCCTGAGTCTGGAGCAAGCACCCAAGCCAGAATAACAGAGCTTTCTTAGTTGGTGAAGACTTAAACATCTGCCTGAGGTCAGGAGGCAATTTGCCTGCCTTGTACAAAAGCTCAGGTGAAAGACTGAGATGAATGTCTTTCCTCTCCCTTCCTCCCACCAGATTTCCTCCTGGAAAACTCTTTGGTAGATTTGGCCGGGAGCTTGCTTTTATGTAAATTGGTGAAATACACACATCTTACACTACCCACAGATATAGCCAAGTAGATTTGGGTAGAGGATACTATTTCCAGAATAGTGTTTAGCTCACCTAGGGGGATATGTTTGTATACACATTTGCATATACCCACATGGGGACATAAGCTAATTTTTTTACAGGACACAGAATTCTGTTCAATGCTGTTAAATATGCCAATAGTTTAATCTCTTCTATTTTGTTGTCGTTGCTTGTTTGAAGAAAATCATGACATTCCAAGTTGACATTTTTTTTTTCATTTTAATTAAAATTTGAAATTCTGAACACCGTCAGCACCCTCTCTTCCCTATCACAGGTCATCTGACCCCTGTCCGTCTCCTTTTCTCTGCTTCATGTTTGGGGGCCTTCCTTTTAACTGCCTTCCTGGCTTGGCTCAGATGGCAGATGAGAGTGTAGTCATGGGCCTGGGCACAGGAGGGAGAGCTGCAGCGTCCTGCCTCGGCTGGAGGGACACCTCTCCTGGGTGTGGAGACAGCTTGGTCCCCTTTCCCTAGCTTCCCGGTGGGTGAATGCCACCTCCTGAGATCCTCACCTCTTGGAATTAAAATTGTTGGTCACTGGGGAAAGCCTGAGTTTGCAACCAGTTGTAGGGTTTCTGTTGTGTTTGTTTTTTTTTTTTTTAAATAAAACTATAATATAAATTCTCCTATTAAATAAAATTATTTTAAGTTTTAGTGTCAAAAGTGAGATGCTGAGACTAGGTGATAATGTATATTTTACGGTGGGGGGGTGGTAGGATGGTGACATTGAACATGATTGCTCTCTGTCTCTTTTTTCAGCTTATGGGTATTTATCTTCTATTAGTATTTGTATCTTCAGTTCATTCCACTTTAGGAAACAGAGCTGCCAATTGAAACAGGAGAAGAAAAAAAAAAAAAAGCAGCAGACAACACATTGTAGTGTCTTGCACACACACAAGTGCCCAGGCAAGGTGCTTGGCAGAACCCCAGAGCGGGAAGACAGTACAGGCATCGGGTTTCCTTGGGATCAGTTTCATTACCATGTACCTTTCCCTCTGCGGTCATGCCATTTGGCAGGGGGAGAATGGGAGGCTTGGCCTTCTCTGTGAGGCAGAGGCAGTGTGAGCAGAAGAAGCTGAGGCCGGCAGGTCAGTGGTTTTGAAGGGATGAGCCCAGACTTGATATTTTGGGATTGTCCTTATCTTCACCTCAAGGTCTCGCATGGTGGGGCCCCTGACTAACCTACACAAGCTCCCTCCCACGAGGGGACATCAGTGTCTTCTCTGTGGGGCATCTGGCCATTCACACTCCCTGGGGTGGTCAGCCCCTCTCACACAAGGAGGAACTTGGGTGAAGGCTGAGCGTGAGGCACCTGACGTTTCCCTGCAGAGTCGATAAATTAGCAGAACCACAGCTCCATCTGTTAGGCTTTGGTGAGGAGGCCCTGGGCAAAGAAGGGTCTTTTGCAAAGCGATGTCAGAGGGCGGTTTTGAGCTTTCTATAAGCTATAGCTTTTTTATTTCACCCGTTCACTTACTGTATAATTTAAAGTCATTTATGTAGCTGAGACACTTCTGTATTTCAATCATATCGTAAACATTTTATTTTGCTAAATCTTGTGTCATGTGTAGGCTGTAATATGTGTACATTGTGTTTAAGAGAAAAAAAATGAAACCCACATGCCGCCATTTTCCTGAATCAAATTCTACAGTGGAATGGAGAGGAAAATACTTCTAGGCAAGCAGCTAGACTGGTGAATTGGGGGAACTAGAAGGAACTAGTAACTGAGACTCCTCCAGCCTCCTCCCTATTGGAATCCCAATTGTTCCTGGAGTAGGAAAAATGTTTAAAGTACATTCATGTTCTTGTTCTGTGTCACCCGGCCCTGGGCAGTCTACCATTTACTTCACCCCAAGTCCTGTTGCCCATCCAGTTGGGAAGCCATGATTTTTCTAAGAATCCAGGGCCATAGGAGATACAATTCCAAGTTCTCGCTGCCTCCTTTGGGTATCTCTTCTGCCTGCCAATCAAGGAAGCTCCACGCCCAGGCTCTCAGCTCTCAGGCCAGTGCTCTGCTCTGTCCAGGGTAGGTAATACCGAGAGACTCCTGTCTTTTACCCTCCCCTAGTTCCAGACCAGCCTCATGGTGGCAACATGGTTCTTGAACAATTAAAGAAACAAGACTTTTTGTAATAGCCCTGTCTAGGGGAAACTGTGGCCTGCAGGAGACACTACCCTTCCGTGCCCCAGACCTCTGTCTTGCACGTGACAGCTGACAGTCTGGACTACCCCAAGATGGCTTCTGGCTACCTAAGGTAAACATGTCACTAGAGTATTTTTATCAGACAGAAACATTATAAAAATCTGATGGCAAAAGCAAAACGAAATGGGGGAAAGTAGGGGAGGTGGATGTGATAACAACTTCCAAATTGACTCTTTGGAGGCAAGAGGAACGGAAGAACTTGGAAAATAGGTTTTGCTTTGGGGGTAGGGGCTTCTTAGATTCTCCCACCACCCGCCTTTCCCTTTAGCCAGTCTGCTGTCCTGAAACCCAGAAGTGATGGAGAGAAACCAACCAGAGATCTCGAACCCTGTCTAGAAGGAATGTATTTGTTGCTAAATTTTGTAGCACTGTTTACAGTTTTCCTCCATGTTATTTATGAATTTTATATTCCGTGAATGTATATTGTCTTGTAATGTTGCATAATGTTCACTTTTTATAGTGTGTCCTTTATTCTAAACAGTAAAGTGGTTTTATTTCTATCACACATCTGCTGTCTCTTGCCTTGTTGTGTTCTGACCGCCACGGGGAGTTATGTACATGCCAGCAGGTCTTGGAAGTCTGTCCCCAGCTCCAGGCCTGGACACGTCCCTCCCTCCATGCACTGCTACAGCCTGGCCCCACCCCGCTCCAGTCCTTTTCCCTTGCAGAAGGAATCTCAGGAGAGGTGCCCTGCCTTGACTTTGCTCCCTGATTCTATTGCTCGAGTCCTCCCTAGTTCTGCTGAATCTGGATCTATTAATACACCTGTACCTAATCACCTCTTGGTGGTACAAGTACCCCCAGACTGGAGTCCTCACTCAGCTCTCCTTGTTTTCTTCCTAAGAATCCCAACCTGGTGGAGGTGGGGAGGGGTGGACTGCAAACTGCAGTCCTTGATGTCAATTGCCTGCTTGAAATTCCAAGTATGGCTTGGCCTAGTTGGGAACACCAGGAACTCATGAGGTCTCACGACAGCTGGCGACCTTTTCCCAGAGCTTATAACAACCTCCTTTCAGAGTTTACAGCAGGGCCTGTCACTGTCAATGGGCTGGGCTGGCTGCAGACCCCTCGCCCGACTTTCAAACCGCCACTGACAATGTTCCAGGTTTTCACCCTTGTTTTAAAGCTACTCCTACCATAGGCCAGGTATGGCACTTTATATACAGGATCTCATGAAATCCCGACTACTCAATGAGGTTGCTCCACAATCGACCATGGTTTTTACCTGAAGAAGTTGGGGCTCACAGAGATAAAGTCATTTTCCTGAGACCTAATGTATAGACAGAACTGGGATTCAAATTCAGGCTGGTTTGATAATGACCTCTGAATCTCCCCCCCTGCAAGGATGCATACAATAAGGAAAATCCAGGGTTTCAGGTTATGCTGGGATTCACATGTGCCCTTCTTATCTCAGCCAGCATGTTCTGGATTCTGTGACTCTTGCCCAATCAGATATAGGGGAAAGATCATCAATAGAAAATTCTGCTTGGTTAGAGTGATTCTTCCTGCAACCTGCAGTCCTAACCATCAGTGTCTTCAAACAGGACTGTCTAGCCAGCAGCCTGAGCTTGGACTCTACAAACAGCCACAGTAAGTCCCCAGCTGGGACTATGGGATACCCTATTCATTATTCTGTTCCCAAAGACTCATTCCTTGCAAGGCCAAGCGCAGGGTCACGGCCTTGAATTCCTTTGACCAGTTTAAGAAGACCACCAACTATGCAAGCAGACATGTTTGCAGGCTCTTTCCTGCTGCTCAGACCTCCTCTCCACAACACTTTCTGGCTTCAGGTGGAGAACCCTTCACCTCATTCAAAAAGACATTCACCTCTTCCACCCAGGTATCCTCCAAATGGGAGGCTGTACCACATACTCTGAGCTAAGCCCTAAATGCTTCCCAGAGGAGAGCTCAGGTGCATTCACAAATTGGAAAGTGAAGAGGACATATAAGGACACTGCCCTTCAACCACCAATGCAAATAAAATATTAATATTACTGCTTTTTATTAAAATATGAGTTGAAATCAGGTTCCACAAAAGGCTCAAGTAAAACAACATCTCACCTTGAAAACACCTTTTACCTTTATAACCAGCCTCTGGCTCCAACATGCCCCCAGAACTTGTCCCCTGATTTGCGGAAAATCTCCAAGGTCGAAGGAATGTGGTACACCTTTGTCATTTGCCCTACTGCCCGAACTTCACCTGGAGAGATGATTTCCCTTAGGAAATCCAGGCACTCCCACAGGACACTGTGACTCCGCCTTAGAGTCTGCGTGGTCAGTGTACAACCCCTAGAGTCCACCTCCTTCATCCAAAGGGACTGAGGACAAGACATCTGTATTCACTCCACATCACGCAAAGAAACAAGAGTAAAAAAGGGCACTCACCATTGGCTTGTGGTTGGGGAAAAATGTTTGCTCCACAAGCGGGAACTTCTCAGGACCCAGGGAATGGAAGATCTTAATGAGTTGAGAGAACTAGGATAGAAGAGGAGAGAATGTTGATCAACCATTGTTACCCAGTAGGGCAAAACCTCCCACTTGATCTGAGGCCTCAAGCATCGACTGTTCTGAGCTAAGCTTCAGTAGGTGCTCCCTGCCTATAGGATAAAGACCAGATTCCTTGGCTGGACATTCATCCTCTCCATCATCCAGCCATGTTAACCCCTCCATTTCTGCCCAACACCTAGTAAGTAGGCAGCACACTGGGTTCAGTTCAACCATATTTAATGAGCACTTACTACAGCCTCAGCATTTCACATAAGGTCCTTCTCCACCTGCTGATGTTCATGCCCTGCTCCTTGCTTGCAATGTCTTCTTTCTAGAGAGGCAGCTTTGCATGGTAATTGATGGTGTTAGATGTGGATCCAGCCTCCCTGGGTTCTAATTCTTGCTTTGCCACTTACTAGCTGTATAACCTGGGAAGTCAATTCAGGTTTCTGAGCTTTGGTTTCTTCACCTGTAAACTGGAGATCCAACCTCATGGGATTGTTGTAAGGATACAGTGTGCCAAAGGCAGTGCTTTGTTCACAGCAATGTTAAAATGCTAGGTGTTATTATTAATAAATATTTTCTCTGCTGTTGCAACCCCTCTCATTTCCAACAGCTCAAGCCACATTCCTTCCCACTGCTCTCCTCCTGCTTCAACACTTGCTTGTTTTGCCAGATATTAGCTATTGTCTCCAGAGCTCGAAGGTGAGCTCTATCACTATGCTTTACTATCGGAGCAACAAGCTGAACATGGGGGGCAAGGGCTGAGGGAAGACAGGCTGCAGGTGCATGGCTGTGATACTAATGTCTTGCTGGAGGGAAGCATAGTGGGTGATGGGACCTGGAAGGGAGAGAGAGTAGGGAGTCAGGATGATTCCCTGGAGCAGACGACATAAGAGAAGGAGAAAGGGCCCTCCAGGTGTGCACTGAGACTAGTGTGTGCTGGAGACCCTCTGCAGCTGCCATGCTGTGGTGTCAGTTGCAGGTGATGATGAGAGAGACGAGGTCAAAGCGTGATCCATCACGGACCACCAGCCTTAAAGGCCTGACCAGAAAGCTTAGAATTCACCCAGAAGGTGAAGGAGAGCTGCTGGTGGATATAAGCAGAGAAGAGCAAATCAGATTCTGAACAAGGTAAAGGAATCAACTGGAATTTGTGGTCCCATGTGGATGCCCAGTGGCTAAAGGAGTGGCCAAGCTGACTTGGAGGTCACTCAATACTAAGAGCCTGGACACTGAAAACAGAGTAACTAGGAACTTTCTGCATCCGCCCAGGACTGGTCTGCAAACCCTTGGGGGGTGGCCTTCAGATGCAGCACAACAGGGGGTCAACTTGGAAGGTTTAGGAGAACTCAGAAATATGGAAAATGATGCGTGTGTGTGGGGTCCCCCATTTTGCAGACAAGGAAATTGGAGTCCAGAAAGGGAGAGTGATTCCACAGGTAAGCACATGAGTTTTGAAGAGGCCTAGCTCTACCACTTACTACTAGCTATGTAAGCCTCAGTTTCCTCATCTGTAAGATAGAGATATCAGCACTCCTACTCATAAGGGTGCTGAGAATTAAACACAATATGCATGTTAAGGGCTCAGGATAGTGCACAGTTAGTTCTGATGAATGGTGGTTGCTACTATCGTGGTAACTGCAGAAAAAGGTGGGGAAGGGCTAACACCATCTAGGACCCTTTCCTAACAGTGGGACTTGAAAATCTTGGATGCCATTGGCCAAAAAGCCCAGTTAGGGCAGAATGAGAAGGAGACCAGGGCCATGACAATAGTGGTAAAGTCTACCTATACCTATTAAATTAATGCATGTAGCCATTCAGTAAGTACTGAGTGTCCCAACTCTACATGGAACTTGTTTCAAGTACCGAAGGCAGTGATAATTTTTATCATTTATTGAGTGTGTACTTTGTGCCAGCCACATTCTAAGCACTTTCATCTATTAAATCATACCCTACCAGGAAGGCTCTATTACTATCACCACTTTCTAAATAAGGAAGCTAAGTTCAGAGAGGTTAAGGGGGTTGCTCAAGGTAGCACAGCTCATAAGTGGAGAAGCCTGGACCTAGGAATCTGGCTTCAGAGCTCACACTCTCAACTACGACCCTACACCACCGGGTGGCCACACAGAGAGATAGCAAAACACCACAGACCAGACAGCTATGAGCTTCACAGAGCACAATCTACATACCCCCCAGCTTCCACATTACCCATCCTCTTTCCATCCTTGATCTTCCCCCTTGTCACTGATCAGAGGACATATTGCATATGTATTAAAGCACCACACATGCCCCTGCTCACTAGAATGTAAGATCTACGGGGCAGGGATTTTGGTCTGAGCTGTTCACTGCTATGTTTCTAGGACTTAGGACAGTACCGGAAACACAGTAAGTGCCCAAGAAGTATTTGTTGCGTGAATGAATAACTTCTAATCATAGAGACAGACAATGTACAAACGAATGGATGAATTTATCATTCTAGGTGGAGATAAGTATCTAGGAAAAAAATAAAGCAGGGTAAGGGATTTGAGAGTACTTGAGCAAGTGGAGGAGTGGTATTTTTTTTTTTCTCTTTTGAGACAGAGTCTTGCTCTGTCTCCAGGCTGGAGTGCAGTGGCCGATCTGGGCTCTCTGCAACCTTCACCTCCCAAGTTCAAGTGATTCTCCTGCCTCAGCCTCCCAAGTAGCTGGGACTACAGGCATGCGCCACCACGCCCAGCTGATTTTTATGTTTTTAGTAGAGATGGTGTTTCATCTTGTTGGCCAGCATGGTCTCGATCTCTTGACTTCGTGATCCACCTGCCTCGGCCTCCCAAAGTGCTGGGATTACATACGTGAGCTATCATGCTGGGCCGAGGAGTAGTATTTTAAGAGGTCTTTCTTATAGGTAACATTTGGATGGAAACTCAAATAAATGAAATGAATGACTGAAACTAAGGAATAAAAGAAGAGAAATTAAATGTTGGGTGTTGGGGATAGATGGCTCAAGTTTTGGCCTCACCACTCACTGAGCAAGTTCCTTAACTGGCCTGAAGCTGAGCTTCTGTCTCTGTAAAACGAAGGGGTGACACTCACTTCACATGCGAATGACAGTATGAGTGCCAGGTAGCATAGTTTTCTAGGACATAGTAAGTGCTCAATAAATGGGGTCTGCTGTTAACAACAATAATGATAGAATGTTCATAAAACAATATGGCACATCTTTATGACTAATGTTATAATGTAACACTATATCATAATATGTTGTTATATAATAACATGTTTTGTTATATATTAATAGTATATATTGTATCACTGTATTATATATATTACAAAGATCAATTATTACATATATGTAATATATCATATGTTACATGTAACATGTATAATATATAATATGTATATATTAATATATATTAATAATATTTATTATAAAGTTTTTTTTTGAGATGGAGTTTCGCTATTGTTGCCCAGGCTGGAATGCAACGGCACGATCTCGGCTTACTACAACCTCTGCCTCCTGGGGTCAAGGGATTCTCCTGCCTCAGCCTCCCAAGTAGCTGGGATTACAGTGGGATTACAGGGATGCGCCACCACGCCTGGCTAATTTTGTATTTTTAGCAGAGATGGGGTTTCTCCATGTCAGTCAGGCTGGTCTCCAACTACCAACCTCAGGTGATCCGCCTGCCTTGGCCTCCCAGTGTGCTGGGATTACAGGCATGAGCCACCGTGCCCGGTGTATAAATATTTATCATAATAATATATAAAATATAACATTAATATAATTGTTAGGCAACAATTCCAATAAGAGCCCTAGGATCCAAGTTCAGTTCAGTTGCTTAAATAAGAATTTTTACTACTGAGGCCTCCATGCTAGGGAGTGGGCTTGTCGCAGAGTGGGAGGCTACCCACTGCCTCCCAGATCCCTCCAGGTCAGCCTGCCCTGTCACCTACCACCCAGGGCTTGCTGCAGAAGTTGTAGACAGAGTAGAGAGAGTTGACAGCAGGCAGCCCTCCATACTGCAGGCCGATGACCAGGCTGCGGTAATCTTCCCCCAGGGCCATGCTGTAGGCGTGCTGGCGGACCAGGATGAAGTCTGGCTTGAAGGATCTGCTGAGAGAGCCAAGAGCCGTGTTACCACACTGGGGCACTGATGAAACACCAGGGCATCCGGCCACAGCTTGCTGGGGATGATAGTACTGACTGCAGGCCGGCAGCTTAGTTCAGAACGGGGAGAGGGTAGGGGATGAGGGCGGTTAGGTGCAAAGGCACAGCTACTCCACCATCAAGTCAAAGGGCTGGAAGCACTATATACGTTCTCTCTCTCTCTCTCTCTCTCTCTCTCTCTTAAAGGCTCTTTCCTAAATTCCCTACATTGAATATGTATTTCACTTGCAACCAGAAAAAAATATATCAAATAACTCAGTGAATCGACTGAGATTCTGCAAGGTACCACGCACTCTACTGAATGTATGTATTATCTATGGTGAGGACAACTGCCCTAGGAGGTGAGTGTTGTCATCAACTCCCATTTCACAAACGAGCACCCTGAGCCTCAGGAAGACTAAGTCACTCGTTCAAAAAGATATGCTGCAGAGAGGCAGTAGGGCCGGGTCTGTGTAGCCTCACAGCTCCAGCTCTTGTTCCTGCAGATCTCAAATCAACCAACACGTCTTGTTTTTTGTTGTTCAAGTAGCCACCTCTGGAAAGCAGCAAGAGTATGGATTTGATGGCCAAATCCATGCCAGGCTATTTGCTAGGTCTCTCTACAGATAGGATCCTGATGAGTGCTCACAAACAGACTTGGGTAAAGGTCTGGACCATCTCCCTATTTTATAGATGGAAACACTGCAGCCCAGGGAAATTATGAACTTTTCGAATCACAAAGCTCGGGAGCAGGAGAGCCGCATTTGAACTCAGGTCATCTGGCTCCAAGTCCACATGCTTTTGACTCCATCACAGGGCCCCAGGAGGATTCACACATTGTTTGATTCATACCGCCAAAGATCAAACTATTTTTGGATTCCTTACTTTTAAATCACACACAAAAAATCAGTCTCACTGTAGAAATGATGCTGACATTCAAAAGGGTATGACAGTATTCGTATCACTCTGTGGTTAGGGTTAGGGTTAGAATCTTGGAATTACAGCAACAGAGTGATGGAAGAAGGAATGAAGGGAGACTGTGGGTGTGTCTCTGACAGGCAATAAGGTGTACTTACTGCTTTCTATTTTGCAGAGACAGGGTCTGGCTATGTTGCCCAGGCTGGGGCAATAGGGAGCACTTATAACCATTTGCTACTTTTATCTGATTTTAAAAGTAATACACACTCCTTGTGCATAACAAAATAAAAATTCCTTGGCATGTACAAAGAAGTAAACAAAGTACCCACAATTTTACAATGCAGAGGAAACTCCTAACAACCTTTGTATATACATTTTTGATCCAATGATCAATTTCAATGTATATAGTACGCATTCACATTCATAATTGCTCCATACTTTCTATTAGTCGATATTAATGTTTTCCACATAATAGTATAGTGTAAATATTTTTCTCTACTACCAAAAATATCTTCCAAAATATAATTTTTAATTTCTACACAATAGTTCACTGAATGATATATCATAATTAAGTCAACCAATCATTTACTATTATCATATAGGCTATTTCCAATATGTTACATACAAATCAGTGCCATTATTTTAAATTATTTTCATAAGATAGATCCTAAGAAGTGGGATTAATGGATTAAAGAGTATAAGCTTTTTGTAAGATACCCCAAAAAAGTCCCCTTTTTAAGGTACATCTCACAAATTGTTTTTGAGTGTCCATCTCATTACAGCCTCACCAGCACTGCAGTTTTTGAAAAATACTGTTTTTCAATTTGACAACAGAATTCCCCCTCGAAAGACACCCTGTATCCTGCTATTGTTTGAGTTTGCATTTCTCCGATTCTAGTGAAATTAAACACTTTTTATTAACCATCTGCATTTTCTTTTCTGTAAAAGTCTGTTCACATCCTTTTCCATTCAAAACAAAATAGGGCCTCTGGTTTCCTACTGAGGTGAGTTCTGTGTATTAAGGATACTGCCCTTTATCCATCATGTGTGGCAATGTTTTTACTAGATGCTTGTCTGTTTTTTTTTTTTTTTTTAAATGGATGTGCATCTTTAAAAACAACACATAAATACATTGTCCATGACCCCAGTTCTGACAATGAGACTTCCACCCCGCCCTGGCAGCGTGGGTTCCATCACAGACAGCAGTGGCAGCGAAGGATAAGACATCCTTCTCCATGAGGAAATAATGAAAGGTCTCTTGCCTCCTATTTTTTCCCCCGTTGCTGAGAATTCATAAGAGAGACATGGGAAAAACAAAGAATACCAAACCTGGCTATCTAGAAAAGGAGGATGTCCTTCCAAGACGACCTTCCAAGAGGAGAATCCCATGACTTGTTTTGGGATGCTCGACTCTGGTTCCAGGTATTATGGTGCTCTCTCTCTCCAGGGCTTCCAAAACTCACCTCTAAATCAGAACCTTTCTGATTCCTCAAAATAAAAGTAGCAGGCAGCTCCTCGTTGTCTTTACAGATTTGGAAATCTACCTCAAGATCCCATATTCAAAGTGCTCTTGCAAAATTATACATCACTCCTCTGTTTTAAACCCTCAAAAGGCTTCTCTCTTTCTGACAAGAGATCATTAGTGCCTTATCATGGCTACAGGGTTCCACATGGGTTGGCCCCTGCCTGCCACTCCATCCTCATTTTCTTCTCTTTTTAAAAAATTATTATTTTTTGAGATAGGGTCTCACTCTGTTGCCCAGGTTGCAGTGCAGTGGCGTCATCACACTCACTGCAGCCTCAAACTCCTGGGCTCAAGCAATCCTCCCATGTCAGCCTCCCAAGTAGCTAGGACTACAGGTGCGCACCACCACATCCAGCTAATTTTTTTTTTTTTTTGTAGAGATGAGATTTTGCTGTTACCCAGACTGGTCTTGAACTTCTGAACTTAAGTGATCCTCCTGCCTCAGGTTCCCAAAGTGTTGGAATTACAGGCATGAACCACCCTGCCCAGGCTTCCATCTTCATTTTCTATCTTTCTCCCCTCCCTCACTGCCACGCAAGCCACACTGACCACCTTCCCTTCCTTCAATTCCCTGGATGCTCTTCTCCCACACTGTGTGTAGGTGCCTTGTCCTCAAAGCTATCGTTCTATCTACTCTATCAAAATTTGCCCCAACCCTCATTTTGCCCTATTTTCTTTATTCATGGCTCTGTGACAATTTTATTTCTCCTGTTTGTTTGATTAGTTGCTTAACTGTCTAATTCTCTTCTCTAAAGATGTCAGCTCAATGGGAACAGAGGACTTGACTGTCTTGAACAAAATAGGCCTTAAAACTGTTTTTAAATGAATGATTGCATTAATAGATGCATATATAAACACATGAATAAATGAATGAACATGATGTGAAATGACCACTGGAAAGGTGAGGGATCACTTTCCCTGTGGTCCTAGAGAAAAAAACTAGACTGATAGACAAAGTAGCCAGGAGACAGCAAGTTGCCCCTTATAGGGCTGCCTTACAAGGTAACAAGTAACACTACGAAGAAATTCATAACCACAGGGAATTCAAGTTGGCTGCCATGACCTCTTAAGAGTATCAGATCTAACATGTGAAAAATAACCACTTCCCATGCACTATATATCAGGTCAAACCAGGCACGTGTTATAGTTTGAATTCTGCCATTCACTGCTACAGAAGGCACAGAGTCCTTCTTGAAAGTCTAGGGTATGATGGATTTACAACGCCCATAGAGAAATTACTGACTTGAGCTGGGCACCCTGTGGCATTCAGTTCCTCCCTCTGTACCCAGCACCCCAGGTTCTCCATCTGGCCAGGGGGTGGCCAAGTCCTGCAGTCACCCCAGTATTTAAGGTTGTGACGTCCAGTAGTTACCAAACCCTGACAGTGGGCCAAGCACTCTGGCAAAGGTTGGAGATCCCAAGATGACAGGGATGATTCCTGCTTTTAAGAAACTCACAACCCAACAGGAGTTGGGTGCAACATGCCCTAAGCACTTTTTTTTTTTTTTTTTTTTTTTTTTTTGAGAGACAGAGTCTGGCTCTGTTGCCCAGGCTGGCGTGCAATGGTGCGATTTTGGCTCACTGCAGTCTCCGCCTCCTGGGTTCAGGCAATTCTCCCGTCTCAACCTCTGGAGTAGCTGGGATTACAGGCACGTGCACCCGCACCCGGCTAATTTTTGTACTTTCAGGAGAGACAGGGTTTTGCCATTTTGACCAGGCTAGTTTCAAACTCCTGACCTCAGGTGATCCGCCTGCCTCAGCCTCCCAAAGTGCTGGGATTACAGACGTGAGCCACTATGCCCGGCCAGCATTTGTTAAATTAACAAAGGAGGGAGTGAGTGGGTGAGTGAGCGAGTGAGTGGGTGAGCGAGCGAGTGAGTGAAATAACTGAGGCATGTACAAGGGGCAAAGGTGGCCCAAAGGATGGATTCAACTCTGTTAAGGGATGAGTGTGAGCAAGTGTGTGCTGGAAGGCTTGGTCTTAAAAGCCGAGGTTTGTCAAGTGGGTTGGGCTTGGAGAGTATTTCAGGCAGGGGGAAGACACCTGCGACTGAATGAATGTGCCCTCGTGGTTGGGGGTGTAGTGGACTGTGCTGGTTTTATCTGCTCTGTACCCCTCCTTTTTCTAGAAACAGAGCCCATGGGGAAATCCTCTCTGATCAGAGAACCACATTTTCCTGGGCTGTAACTGGTCTAAGGATGGAACCCCTGATGTAAAATGGGCCTGTGAGAACATTCTCAGGCGTGTTGTATCTGAGCTACGGAAGACAGGAGTGGCCAGCGACACTGAAGTAATGTAAGCTGGGCTGATGGGAGACCATTTTCTGTTACGTGAAGAAATCCCATTTGTAGTAGAAGTGCCAGCTGGGAACAGAGGTAAGGAGGGAGGCAACACACCTGTCAATATTAGATGAGCCAGCCAAATGCAGTGGCTCAGGCTTGTAATCCCAGCATTTTGGGAGGCCAAGGCAGGCGGATCACTTGAGGCCAGGAGTTTGAGACCAGCCTGGCCAATGTGGCAAAA